AGCAAACCTGAGAGACTGCAGTTTCAGCTTCCCTATTCAAACAGTTTTCCCATTTAAATAATCACTCTCTAGCCTGCTCCCTGCCAGATAAGGCCCTCCAGGGAAAGGTAGCTTCCTGGGAATGTTTACTTTAAAGGTAGAGATTGGTAGCTCCAAAGTCTGGCCACTTGTAGATGACCACTTGTTTCTTCACTGTGATTCTTCTGAAGGAAGGACAACAGTGGGAGAAGGACTCAGTGACTGCTAGTCTTGATTTTGTGGCAGTATGCTTACAGGTTCCTCAAGGGGTATTGGGAAATTCCAAAGCAAGTTCTTCAAAACTCATTTTAAAACCATCTCAAGGGGCCAGTGCCGTGGCTCACTTGGTTAATCCTCCACCTGTGGCGCTGGCATCCCATATGGGCGCTGGGTGCCAGTCCTGGTTGCTGTTCTTCCAGTCCAGCTCTCTGCTGTGGCCCGGGAAGGCAGTGGAGGATGGCCCAAGTATTTGGGCCCCTGCACTCGCGTGGGAGACCAGGAAGAAGCACCTGCTCCTGGTTTCGGATAATCTCAAAGTCAGGATGCTGAAATTCCAAGGCAGTTTGTGAGTGCAATCGTAGGGAAACTATCATTTGTGACTTAATGGTGTGTTCTCAATCATTTGGTGACTAACTGACCCAAGCTCTTACAACAGCAGAACCGAGTAACTCAAAGTTGTGTGTGTTAGGGGGAGAGAGGGAGTATGGTGAGGTTCAGGGACCTTGAGGTGACAGCTGGGATTCTAGACATTCCATAAAAGTGTATCCATAAATGATGGTCTGAGGTTTCCAAGACCTAGAACCAGAAGAGGGAGGTGTCCAAAGTCTGTCAAAAAGGGCCATGTCTTCAGCCAAGCACTGAGCATGTGGGCAGAGAAGGATGAGGATGAGCAGTGTCTTGAATGAGGTACCACCTTCTAAAGCCAGTTTCCCAGAAGTGTAACACCTGCTCTCTACAGAGGGTACGGTAGGGAAGGCTAATTGGTAAGAGCCACTGCAAACACCTGCACTGGCCATCCCATTTGGTCTCCACAACCACCCTAGGAAGTGTAAGATAACATTAGCCCCATTCTGTGGCTAAGGGAATCGGGAATTTGAGCAGTTAAGTGAGTGTAGGCAAAGTCAATCTGCTTATAAGAGGCATGAATGTAACTCAGTGACCCCACTGAGGCACAAGAGAAATGCAAAGGAAGACACAGCAGGCAAGGGAGTGGCAACATTTTCTAAGGAAGCATGATTAAAAATTTCTTCTGAAGTGTGTGAGGATTCTGGCAATGAAGTGGCCTGTGATTTCTGAGCTACAGGCAAAGTGTGGACATTTTGTGAGATAGATGGGGCGGGATAAAAAGGTGAGGGCTGGTCAAAGAGGAGCACCGACCTCCTTGCCCCTCCCCAGGAAAGTGTTGTGGCTCCAGAGGCAGCACAGCAGAGTAGCCAGGCGCAGGCACAGGGCATCCAGACTGCCTCCGCTTGGATCTTGTCCCTGCCATCAGCTGCCGGTGAAGTCTGGAATAAGCTGAGTGACTGCCCAGTGCCTCAGTTTCCTAAATTGGAATATGTGACTAATAGTACCTACTTCATAAGGCTGTCCCAGCAGTTACACAAAGCAGCGTTAGGGCCAGGGACACAGTAAATACCACATGAGAATTTGTTAAATAAATTCTTTGCAGGCTGTGAACTCCTGCCACAGATGATCATAGATAAGTAATAGCAAATTTCTGGAAACCATGTTAAGATATTCTAGCTTCCCGTTCTGACATTTGTTCCTGCAATCACTGGCTGCAGGATTTTACAAATTCAGCTTTGTCACCAGCTGTTCCACCCTCCATTGCTGGCTGTCCTGGGTCATCTCTGCTGACCAGCCACCGCCCTGATTTCTGAGTCACCTTCCTAAACAAACTTAAAGACTAAGTCAGTTGTTTTGCAGGGTACTCAAGATTCAAGCCTGGGCTGTGCTTAGGAAGTCATACTACAATTCCATCAACAGGGGGAGCTCAAAGAATATCTGAAAATAAAATTGGCATGATACAACAAAACTGAAAAAAAAATAAAAAGGAATAAAATCATTCTGATATGACGGTACAATCTTGTTATTAATTGTAAAATAAGAGGAAATAAATTTAAAGTAGCATAAGCAGACAGTGCTAATGAGACAGGGGTTGGTTCCTCTACAGTAGAAGATGATTTACTTAAGATGTCTGTCTCTGGGGAAATCCAAGTGAAGACTTGGATTTTACATTCATAAAGACGACAATGTTCTGATAGAATTGAGCTTTCAAGATTTATTCCCATTCAATTGGTTTTGCTTAAGGGAAGCTCAGAATAATTGCGCTTTGTTCAGATTCAGAAGTAATATTCAGGGATGGCAAGCTTTAGGAAATAGCTGGCCAAAATTCTATCGTGAGATAAGTGAAACAGGCTTTTATTTATAATGTACTAAACTAGGAAGTTTAGAAAACCTTTATGGGTTCTGCATGGTGGGAAGAGTCTCTCCCACTGATTTGTTTAATTAGAGCATCCTTAAACTAAGAACCCTGCTGCAGCGATCTGCTTAGAGCAAAGCCCTGAGCAGTGATTCTACCCTGGGAGGTGGACTTAGCTCATCACTGACGGGGCTGTGGTATTTGGCAAATGATCTTTAAGACACAATTAAGGACATAAAGAATTTGTAGAGGGAAAAATGGTTAGGGCATTAAGCTTTTTGTGATGGCTTTTTGTGGTTTTGTGGGTTGTGGTAGAATGGGTGTCACTGGAAGCTGGATTTATAAAATGTTCCTCCCCAAATACTTCAAATATCTTCCTCATAGGAGCTGCGACTGTAAAAGCCAGGAGACTGATTAAGTTGGCACGTACCAATGCCATCTTACTAGTCAAAGTGATCAGTTTAGGTTCATAATTGATCATAAAAATAGGACTGAGCGTCAAAGGGAACACATAAATAAGACCAGTGGCTGCTAATAATAATTGATAGAACTAAAAGGAGAGAAAGACCCAACATGGGAAGCAGGATACACAGCAGACTCACAGAATGACAAATGCCCTAAACAGGACTGTGGCCTCAGAATCAGCCCTTAAGGCATTCAGATCTGGCTAAAAAGCCTATGAGAGTTTCTCAGGCATGGAAAGCCAAGATAGTGTGGCAAAAAATGACCTAAATGAAAGATCTCTGTGAGTGAGATCCCAGTGGAAAGAAGGGGCCATCAAAGAAGGAGGTACCTTTCTCTGAAGGGAGGAGAGAACTTCCACTTTGATTATGGCCCTGTCTAAATAAGGTCGGAGTTTGTGAACTCAAGAGGCTTCCATAGCCTTGGCAACTCATGACAAGAGTCTCGGGTGATTACTGACATCATAAATAAGAGTGGCAATTGTTAAATCAACAACAGAAGTCACTGTGCAGTTACTCCCCATGCAGGATCTCTGTCCTTAATGTGTTGTACTATGAGAATTAATGGTAAAACTAGTCTTCAAACAGTACTTTATACTTTGCGTGTCTGTGTGGGTGCAATCTGTTGAAATCTTTACTTAGTATATATTAACTTGACCTTCTGTATATAAAGATAATTAAAAATGAATCTTAATGAAGGATAGGATGGGAGAGGGAGTAGGAGATGGGATGGTTTCCGGGTGGGAGGGTAGTTATGGGAGGAAAACCCGCTACAATCCAAAAATTGTACTTTCAAAATTTATATTTATTAAATAAAAATTTTCTAAAAAAAAGGCCAGGAGACTGAATCCATATGAAATACTCCAGAAATAAGCCTCATTGCTATATAACTGTATAGTGTAGGAGGTCGCATATACATGCAGCAGCTCTGAGCAGAATGTGTAGGGTGTTGCTAGCCCGAGGATACAAAACCACAGTATGTCTTCATAAGAGCATTTTCAGCCAGTGCAAGGAATCAAACCCAGATTCTCTAATTCCAAACACACAGATCATAAACACAGGTATATGCCTTAGTTTCTAGGGTGACTCAACATATGATCGCCAAGGTCACTGTCAACTCAGGACAGGACCACTCCATCACACACTGACTCGAATGCAAGTACATGGACTGCATCAGTTTATCCATTTCTTGCATTCATCAGGTGACAGGCAAATCTTAGAGACAAGGTAACTGACACTACAAAGGAATAGCTTTTTTTCACCTATTATTTTCACATAATGTGTTGGTGGAAAATGAGTGATTTCAAGATATTTTATAATAATAGAGGACTGATTGGCCGGCGCCGCGGCTCACTAGGCTAATCCTCCGCCTTGCGGCACCGGCACACCGGGTTCTAGTCCCGGTTGGGGCGCCAGCTTCTGTCCCGGTTGCCCCTCTTCCAGGCCAGCTCTCTGCTGTGGCCAGGGAGTGCAGTGGAGGATGGCCCAAGTGCTTGGGCCCTGCACCCCATGGGAGACCAGGAAAAGCACCTGGCTCCTGGCTCCTGCCATCGGATCAGCGCGGTGCGCCGGCTGCAGCACGCCGGCCGCGGTGGCCATTGGAGGGTGAACCAACGGCAAAAGGAAGACCTTTCTCTCTGTCTCTCTCTCTCACTGTCCACTCTGCCTGTCAAAAAAAAAAAAAAAAAATAGAGGACTGATTAAAAAATTACAGGATACCTATAAAATGCAGTTTAATGTGGTCAATTTTAAATCATGTTCTTCCAGAGTATTTAAATTTGTGGAGAGTTTACAGACATACATCACTTTAAAAAAACAGTTTACGAAATAATGTGTCATAATTTTAAAAGTAACATATACATACACAAAGAGTGGAATACTGTATACCAGACAGCTGAAAGTTGTTCTCTTTGGGAAGTGTTGTTGCTTGTTATGCTTCAACCTTTCAATTTCTTCCACATTGTCTGCAGTTACTAAACTCTGTTTCTAATCAGAGAAGCATTGTTGCTTTTTACATAAAATCAAGCAGTTTAAGAGCTTTGTAAAAGTAAAATAAGATTATTTTCTAGAAAAATTTTCTAAGAGAAAATGTTTCCTACCTCATTTCCTTTACTTCCAGCACTGGACTTCATTTCCTTTGGTTGCTTTGAAAAAGAAAACAACAGGGTTTAGACAGAGAAGCGTCAGTTACTTTATCAAATTGGGCACACCTATTGCCATCATTCTGTTGGCTGCAGTTATTTCTAGAACAGCAACTCTGATAGCCTGTAACTCACTGAAGCCCGACATAGTTGTCTACATTCAGCAGAAAAGGGTTTCCTGCTTTTACCTCATGGGATGGCACTGTAGAAACTTCCATTGAGGTAAGTGAGCAAGTTGGCATACCATTATGACTATTTTTCAGCCAACATTTTGGAAAAAGAAAATCACGCTGGGATCTTCTGGAAACTATTCAGCACTCCTCTGGGCCTGGAAAGCTAGCTTGTGGTCAATGATTTCCAATCTCTATGAAACCAAGTCTAACACAGAGGACTGGGGAAATAGACCTGGAAAGTATCCTTTGGCACAGTTAAGTTACTGAGTGGCATTATAGCAGAAGAAGACTTACTGCCACAAAAATGTTCATGATACAGATTACTGAGTGGAAAATAGAGAAAATAATAAATTATATATTGTGTACCATTTGATCACATTATAGGAACATATTTTTATCTATGCATTTTTTAAAGATTTATTTCTTTATTATTTATTTGAAAGAGTTACACACAGAGAGATAGAGACAGAGACAGAGAGACAGAGAGACAGAGGTCTTCCATCAGTTGGTTCACTTCCCAAATGGCTGCAATGGCCGGAGCTGTGCCAATACGAAGCCAGGAGCCAGGAGCTTCCTCCCAGTCTCCCATGTGGGTGCAGGGGCCCAAGGACTTGGGCCATCTTCTACTGCTTTCCCAGGCCACAGCAGAGAGCTGGATTGGAAGTAGAGAGCAGCCGGGACTTGAACCGGTGCCCATATGGGATGCCGGTGCTTCAGGCCAGGGCTTTAACCCACTGCGCCACAGTGCCAGTCCCTATCTATGCATTTTTAAAAAACAAAAATAAGGTTATTTATAGCATTATTTTAAGGTGGTAAGATTATTGGTGATTTTTAATTGTTAAAAATTTGCTTCTATTTTCTATATATCTGCATTAAAAAGCAATTAAAGTTATTATGCATAAAATAATAATAGTGAAGATGCTTTGCAATAGATGAGCAGTATAAAAACTAAGGTTTTATTATTTTATATATTATAAAAAATAAAGACCTTTCTGGTATGTTCCCTGTTCTTCCTTATCCATGTGATTTTGTTGGGAAGACACAGATACTGCTAAGTAAGAGCTCTTAATGTTTTACTTATTGTCAAACTTTTCCCATTATTGAAAAAGTTGGTTGAGGATGGGAAATGAGTTAGACCAGAGTGCTAGTTCCAAGGATGTCTATAATTCATGACTCTTCATTACATTGTATTTATCTAGCAGCCTCAAAAAGAGGAATTCAATTAAAAAATGTACTCTTCAGTACTGAGACTCACACAAAACCAAAAACTAGCATAAATTTATGTATGCAGATATCTTTTGGTTAACTGAAATTTTATCACAGTAGATCTTTTGAGGCTGATTCAGTGGTGCCCCAAGATTCAGGTGAAGTACTTGCTAAACAAATAAACCACAGGAGTAATATGTTTCTGGCAAGAAAAGCAGCAGGGTCTTTGAGAATCTAAGAACTATGCAAAGAAATAGAAAAAAAAAAAAGGCAGGAAGAGAACTCTAGGTCAAAAGGAAGTGGTAAAACCAAGAGGCAACAGGAGGCTGGGTCAGAGCTTTCTAGACATGCCGAGGCCAAATGCTCAGCTGGCGATGCTGGAACAGACTGCTTCCCCCAAGCCGACCTCTTAAAATGAAGGCATTGGCCCGGCTCTGGCTGTTGCTGCCATTTGGGGAGTGAACCAGAGGATGGAGGATCTTTCTCTCTGTCTCTCCTTCTCTGTCTGTAACTCTGCCTCTCAAATAAATAAATAATCTTTAAAAAAAATAAAAGTGCTGTAAGTCAGACATGTTGCTATTGGCTGTCACTCTTTGGGGAGATTTTACAAATGAAACCAGGATTGCCTACCTGATTTGAGATGGATTAATTTTGCCATTATCATAAAAATATACTGACCAACTACTATGCCATAGGTACCATGTCATCATTATCATTGTTACGCCATCAGACCTTCCGCGTCTTGGTTCAATATTATTTCTACCATTTTTACTTCTCAACGACAACATGTTTTATTGCTCAAGTGGTTCTTAAGCTTACATCTTAAGATGTAAGAAACCCCAAAGAATAAAATACACTGAATTATAAGGCTTATTTGTGAAGATGTATCTGACCTGGGTGGGGTGGGGAGAAGCCAGTGAAATTTTCCTGTCCAACTTACCAAATGTCGAAATTCTACAGACAGACTCCCATTGGAAGATTCTTCAATGGACATGGCTTTGACGTGAGTTCCACAGAGGACAAATCTTCGATTGCTGAAGAGGAAATTTTGGCTGCTTACATGATCTCAGGTAAAGGGTTGACAAGGACAGCAAAAAAATTCTATAGAGTAAATATGTCTTACCTTAGAGTTGAAATATTCCTGAAAAACCAAGAAAACTCTTTAAAATCAGCTGTTTAATAGATCTAGTAAAAGCATTCTATATTTTAAAGGATAGCCTATAAAATTTTCAAGTCTTTATAGTAAATTTTCAGTCATGTCTTCATTGGGTTCTATTAAATGAACTTCAAAGCCAAAGATTTGAAGCACATTGGTATGTAACATTCCAGAAGTAAATTTAAACGTTTGAAATCATTCTGTAAAATAAGGACACTTCATTATAAAACCTCTTACATTTTCACATTTCAAAACAAAATTAGAAAACTTACTTGTCAATTGATGCTTTCACCTTTACCTGATAGTTTAGTTCTGGCAATTTTATTAGTAGTCTGTAAAAAGACATCAATAAAGAATAAAACATAAATATTAAAATATTAAAGTTTTAATATTTTATTTATTTATTTTGAAATATTCATTTTATTTATTTGAAAGGCAGAGTTACAGAGAGAGAGGGAGAGACACACAGAGAGGCAGAGGTCTTCTATCCACAGAGTCATTTCCCTCAATGGCTGTAATAGCCAGGGCTGGGCCAGGCTAAAGCCAGGAGCCAGGAGCTTCTGGGCCTCCCACGTGAGTACAGGGGCCCAAGCAACTGGCCATCCCATGTTGATTTCCCAGGAGCATTAACAGGAAGCTGGATTGGAAGTGGAGCATCCAGGACTTGAATCGGAACCCATATGGGATGCTGGCATGGCAAGTGGCAACTTAACCTTCTACGCCACAACGCCAGCCCCACCAGAGCTCTTGGACGCTTAACCAGCTCCTTGTGGGCTTTACATGAGGGGACTGAATGCAGACACACCACAGCCCATTTCTCACACTTTCCCTCTTGCCCTGCCACCTTCTTCCAAATGGAACCAAGTTGAATGCATCCATGTTGGGAGTTTTGTATTGAGATTGGCTGAAAAGAGAAGACTTGGGTTGACCATGTTGTGATATGTTGACAAACTCAAGGACACAACCATCTCGACCTGGTCATGTGGCATGCCTTTGTATGTGTGTAATGACATTCTGACTGTCAGACTTTTTAAAAAGTTTTTATTTAATGAATGCATTTTTTCATAGATACAACTTTAGGAATATAGTGGTTCTTTCCCCCATACCACCCCCGCCCAGCTCCCATCCCACCTCCCCCTCCCATCTCCTTCTTCATTATGGTTCATCTTTAGTATGACTTTATAAACAGAGGACCAACTTCATGCTAAGCACAGACTTCAACAATTTGCACTCATGCGCACAGACAACATATAGAATACAGTTTGGGAAGAAAATTTGCAGTTGATTCTCATATTACAATTCATTAGGGACAGAGGTCCTACCTGGGAAGCAAGTGCACAGTGACTACCGTTGTTCCTTTAACAATCAACACTCCCATTGATGATGTCAGTGATCATCCTAGGCTCTTGCCATGGGCTGCCAAGGCTATGGAAGCCTTTTGTGACCATAGACTCCATCGGTATTTGGACATAGCCATAAGCAAAGTGGATGTTCTCTCCTCCCTTCAGAGAAGAGTATATCCTTCTTTGATGACCCTTTCTTTCCACTGAGGTCTCATAGATATCCTCTGTGTAGGATATTGTTTTGTCAAAGTGTCTTGTCTTTCCATGCATGAGATGCTCTTGCAGGCCTTTCAGCCCAACCAGGAAGCCTCAGGGGTTGACTCTGAGGTCAGAGTGTTATCCACAGTGAATGTCATTCTAGGAGTCTGCTGTGTGGACTGCTTTCCATGTTGGTCCTTCCTTCCTTGTTAATTCTATTATTTTTACTGGGTACTTGATGTTATTTATATGATCACTTTTAAACCTAGACCAATCTGTATGTTGACTTTAATGTTAAAAATGATCGGCCGGCGCCGTGGCTCACTGGGCTAATCCTCCGCCTTGCGGCGCCGGCACACCGCGTTCTAGTCCCAGTCGGGGCGCCGGATTCTGTCCCGGTTGCCCCTCTTCCAGGCCAGCTTTCTGCTGTGGCCAGGGAGTGCAGTGGAGGATGGCCCAAGTGCTTGGGCCCTGCACCCCATGGGAGATCAGGATAAGCACCTGACTCCTGCCATCGGATCAGCGCGGTGCTCCGGCCGCAGCGTGCCGGCCACGGCGGCCATTGGAGGGTGAACCAACGGCCAAGGAAGACCTTTCTCTCTGTCTCTCTCTCTCACTGTCCACTCTGCCTGTCAAAAAAAAAATGATCATTTTAACTAACTTGATCTTCTGTATATAAAGATAATTGAAAATGAATCTTTATGCAAATGGAATGGGAGAGGGAGCAGGAGATGGGAGGGTTATGGGTGGGAGGGAAGTTATTGGGGGGGGGATGCCATTGTAATCCATAAGCTATACTTTGGAAATTTATATTTATTAAATAAAAGTTAAAAAAATGATCATTTTAACAGTGAAGATGGCATTTATACCACTGATTTTTATGGGTCTGGGGCCCCATGACAAGTTCCTAGGCTGTACCCTGAGAGGTGAGTCTGTATGCAGAACTAGACTGTTTTACAGTTTTAGACTCCCTCCTCCATCTCTTATTCCCCCTCTTATTTTTAACTGGGATCTTTTTCCAATTCTCTTAAAATACATATGATTAACTCTGTTACATAGAGAGTTCAGCATATAGTATGAAGTAGAGAAAAGAAAGAAAGAAAACAGAGAAAAAAAAAACAAACCAAACCAAACAAAAAGGATATACACAGTAAAAAGTAACAATGATAAACTGTCCCTCACTGACTGTCAGATTTTAATGCTGTTCTTCTACAGGAGAAAAAATAATATAAAGAAAAACAAATAAAAATTTATTTAAAGCACATACAAAAAAGAAATAAAATCATCGGTCTAGACTGCCCAAACAAAACAGAGAGTAGAATGCAGCCAAGGTGTTTTTTGTTGTTGTTGTTTTTTTTTTTTTAATGCCCTGTGTAAAGCACTAGATTGGTTTCACGGTCTAGATACTTATGGTGACTCTAGCACAACATTACCACCTCTTGATGCATATTAGCCTGTGGTCTCAGCTTTCCAGAGGTGAGCTAGTGATCAGCAGTTTTAAAGCTCTAAGCCTTGGAGTTTCAGGCATGATGGACATCTTTCAGAGTAAGAGTTTAAACTCAATGTTTTAAGTGTCACTAGGGAAAACTGTAAGTTTTGATTGCTTATGCTATTGGAAAAAATCAAACACAAAGACAAAACAAAGCAACAAGAACACAAAAGTCACGCATCTTTAGATCAGGTACATGGTGAGGATCTATTGAAAATTGCACCCTTGAGAGTTTTTGTGGAAAATCCAACACAAGGCAGTTAACGAGTAACAGGAAGATTTGTCACCCTATTTTCTGGAGATGATGTTCAAAGCCTTCCATAATCTGTCCCAGTCTGTGTTCTCCATTCTACTCCACACTATCACAAAACAGATCCAGGATGCCATTTCTGTTGTCTCACTCTTCTACAACACTCTTCTCCTTCCCCAGTCTCTCCAGGCTTTTCTCTAGTCAGCCTTTACCACAATTAATTTTAAAAACTTCATTAATTTTACCATTGTGGTTGATACCATGACTCCATTCCCTCATGTAGTCCTCATGTCCTCTGCATATCCCATAATCTCTCATGCTCTTGACAAGTATGGCTCTTAATACTTTTTGTGGGTGTCTAATAAAGCTTAGTGCTAGGCACACAGCAGGTGCTCAAAAATGAGTAGCTGAATGTAAAGCACAATGAGAGACAGGAGCCTTGATTACCCGGCAGCTGTGGCCCTGCAAACCCGTGAGACCACAGAGTGTGTTCTGCCTACCTTAGTTTCACAGTGAACTGAATGAGGGTTTTCAGCACCATCGGCCTCTGAGGGTGGGTCGGCATACATGGCTGTCTCTCAACCACAAATGAGCTAGGAAATAAAGTGTCATTTGAAAGCACTGAAGATTCACAGATTGAAAACCACAGAGGAGCAGGATGCTGTCCTCTCAAAAAGTCCACATTTTCTACACTTTGAAGATTTTCAAACCTCCATTAAGGTCACATATTGCTAATGACTTCTCTTAAATAATTACTATAAGGTAGGTAAATGCCTAAAGATTGTCCCTAGGTAACAGCAGCAAATGATTCTGAATTGTTATACGTGAATCACATATCACATTATACAATTGTTATACTTGAATCACATATCACATTAAACATAGAAATTTCATGCCAATTCTGGACTACATATTTGGATTTTTGGTGTAAATTACCATAACACAAAGTTCTCCTTCCTTCGTTTCTGATATGCCCTTAAGAAGGAACCCCTCAAATCTTTACTCAATTGTGAAAAATGGCTTATAGTTGGGTGACCTAGCGTCACTCATGGAAAATGAGTCTGCTGGTAGAAGTGTTGATGAACGAATAATGAATGGCAGAAATGTTTCTGGAACTTCCTGAGGCTCTGTTCCGTCTTCCTGAGACTCACTGTCTGATACTTCCCTGCCACTATGGGCCTGGTGTAGTTAGAGGTCTGCAGAACTGATGATACCATGAGTGTTTAAATGGATATCATGTTACTTACTTCTTAAAAAGGTTGTAGATCAAGAAGGTGACTCTTTCTTGCAAGTGTGTCCTTTGTATCGGGACGGGATCACCTTCATACGTCATTTTGGTAGATTGCTCTTCTAATTTCTCCAATTGCCTTCTGAGTTGGAAAAGACTTTCTGCCAATAGTGTAAAGCTATTGAACAGCAAGTGAAATTTGGAGATTATTTTTTTCACTTAACAGTCAATTATTTTAACAATTGATCATGTTTAACAAATATTGTCCCTGAACACTTATGAGATTAATTGAATCAGTTCCATTTAGGATTAGTGACAGTTCTTTATTTTTATTTTTCTACTCTTTGTAATTCTGTCTTTCAGATAAAGAAATCTGAAAGTGGAGGGCTCCAACAACAGAGAAGGTAGAAAGTCCCGTCAGACTCGAGCGGTCCATCTGAGCTTACAGTGGCGCTTTCTACTTAGAGCATTCTGCATTTACAGTAGTCCGAAGAGCTGTCTAATCCTCCTGAGTTTTTGTCTGTGTGGTTTTTTGCTCCCCTGTTGGATTATCCTGCTGTTGCGATATCAGAGTACAATGTGATTAGAGAATCAATATGGTTTTTATTTTTTATTTTTATTTTTTTATTTTTTGACAGGCAAAATGGACAGTGAGAGAGAGAGACAGAGAGAAAGGTCTTCCTTTTGCCATTGGTTCACCCTCCAATGGCCACCACAGCCAGCGCGCTGCAGCCAGTGCACCACACTAATCCGATGGCAGGAGCCAGGTACTTATCCTGGTCTCCCATGGGGTGCAGGGCCCAAGCACTTGGGCCATCCTCCACTGCACTCCCTGGCCACAGCAGAGAGCTGGCCTGCAAGAGGGGCAAGTGGGACAGAATCCGGCGCCCCGACCGGGACTAGAACCCGGTGTACTGGCGCCGTAAGGCGGAGGATTAGCCTAGTGAGCCACAGCACCAGCCGAGAATCAATATGTTTTAAAATGAGCTCAACTCCTTACTTTTCTTGAGAAATGGGCTGGGAGGGGTAGAGCTTTTATTGAGAGGTCCCCATTTCTACATATTTCCTTTGGATTGAGTTGTGCTCTTAGAAAGCATTTTTGGGGGCCAACGCTGTGGTGTAGTGAGTTAATGCCCTGACCCGAAGCGCCGGCATCCGACATGTGCGCTGGTTTGAGTCCCTGCTGCTCCACTTCCGATCTAGCTCTCTGCTATGGCCTGGGATAGCAGTAGAAGATGGCCCAAGCCCTTGGGCCCCTGCGCCCATGTGGGAGACCGGGAGGAAGCTCCTGGCTCCTGGCTTCGGATCAGCGCAGCTCTGGCCGTTGCAGCCAATCGAGGAGTGAACCATCGGATGGATGACCTCTCTCTTTCTGCCTCTCCTCTCTCTGTGTAACTCTCTGACTTTCAAATAAATAAATAAATCTTAAAAAAAAGAAAGTGATTTTGTATTTTAACCAAACATTTTCCTTCTTTCTAGATATATCATCTAATTACTATTTCAATAAAGTCGTTTCATTTTGCATTCATGAGGTAGAAACTCCATCTTCTAATGCAAAAGATAGCATCCACATTTAATTGAAAGTGAGTGGACAGGGGAGGCTGTGTTGCATTACAGATTTTTTAAAATTTAGTTTTTAATTGACAAGTAAAAATTTTTTATATTTATGGTATATAATGTGATGCTTCAATACATCCATCAATTGTGGAATGGCTAAGTGAATCCAAATAACATGTATTACCTAATCTACTTATTTTTTGTGTGTGATGAGAATACTTAAAATCTGATTTCTTAGTAATTTTCAAGTATGATTAAGTTATTACTAACTACAGTTATCACCTTGCACAACAGATCTCTTGAACTCACTCCTGTCTTACTGAAATTGTATATCCCTTGACCAACATTCTTAAAAAAAATTGTTGTGTTGAAGATATAAACTTATGTTTAACTCTGAACCCTTGAGACATGCTTTTTTAAAGTTAAGATATCTATTTAAAAGCTTTCGGAAGCTAGTGATTCTTTACTGTGTCCCTAATGAAAGTATTTGACTAATTTCAAAACTGCTCTTGAGTCTTAAAATTGGTATATTGTAATGAAACGTAAGCAATTCTTATGCATTCCATAGATGCTTCCTTCCTCCCACCCTAGAAAAATACAAATTAAGAACACTTATACCCCTATGTCTGTTTTCCACTGCAGAGTTTCTGGCCGCTATTAGCCATCGGTGAGCTGAGTAACTGACATTCCGGTCTAAGGCTGCCTTCTCTGGCGGAGTGACACTTCGCTTCTGTACTTCCTGTGGTTTTCACCAGAAACTCGGCAGTTCATCTTACCAGTTTTGAAGCTGGTCGAGCCCATTGTGGAGCGGCCCTCCGATGCAGGCGATCTGCTGCCTCCGCTTCCAGTCCTGCAGCTCCTCGATGAGCATGCTGTTCATCAGCAAGTCCGTTTCATTCACGATTTGCGTCATCTTACTGAGGGCTTCCTAAAAACACAGGCGACCACTTGAAGAGACTCGCAGAAGAACCAGGCAGACTCTCTCAGACCTCAACTTACAACAACTGGACCACGGAGACAGAAGCGTGGTTAAAATTTGACCATCTTACCACATACTAGCTTCTGCTTGCCCCAGCAATGCCTTTTCAAACAAATTATTTATTACAATTAAATAATGTCATGAAGAAAGAAGAATGATCACAAATAGTCCCACAACACAGAGATGCCAAAAAGGATGTGGAAAAATAGAATTAAAAGATAAATTTAATATGTTTTAAAATCCAAGCATAGCATTTTCATAATATAAATTTCTCATGAACTTTTTGAAGATACCTCATGTGTTTTAATATAAATAAACTCTTGTGCAACATTGAATCTTGTAATCATAAAATCCTATGTTTGCTTCTTAAAGGATGTATATAAATATATCATTTATAAATGATTGTATATTAATTTCAAAATGTACTGACTAAAAACTGAGTTTTTTGGGTTCAGTGCTATGGCGCAGCAGGTTAACACCCTGGCCTGAAGCGCTGGCATCCCATATGGGCGGTGGTTCTAGTCCTGGCTGCTCCTCTTCTGATCCAGCTCTCTGCTATGGCCTGGGATAGCAGTAGAAGATGGTCCAAGTCCTTGGGCCCCTGCACCTGCGTGGGAGACCTGGAAGAAGCTCCTGGCTCCTGGCTTTGGATCGGTGTGGCCATCTGGGGAGTGAACCAGCAGATGGAAGACCTCTCTCTCTGTCTCTACCTCTCTCTGTAACTTTCTTTTTCAAATAAATAAAATAAATCTTAAAAAAAAAACCTGAGTTTTTTCCTGTTACTTTCTTTTTAGGACTTTGTCTGGATTTTGGATGGCATGGTATAACTTCTTAGGGTCCAGGAGTTAGAAGGTATGGATTTCTGACCTAGCTTTGCCACAAGCTCTATGAATTTGGACAAAACATCTGCCCTTGCTGGAACCTGGTCTTTTTACCTATACAAACAGGTGAATGGACTGGATTCTTTCCAAGGTTTCTTCTCTCCCTCAGACTTTAACTGGAAAGTATAATCTGATGGCACGTATAAAGCGCAGAGCATAGATTTTACATTTTTGTCTTGGATTAACTAGTTGCATGCTTAAAATCGGATAAATAACTGCACAGCTTCATAATTAAGGTGAAAATAAATTTCACATTTCTTGTGCTCACACAAATTCCTACATAAAAAAATGGAGCTGAACTTTTAGGAATGAGCTTATTGATTTATCAATGACTGGACAAATTTCAGTTGCATTTATTTTCAAGGAGAGGTAGAAAATTGAAGTAGAAATGTTTCCCTTCTTTGAAAATGTTCCATTGAGTGAGAAAAATGTTCTTCTTCTCCTTTGGAGGAGTTGAGATTAAATATGTCCAGATGCTAATGAACTACTCTGAAGTCTAGGAAATTGCTTAACGCTGTGTCATTTCTCAGAGTAGAAACGGGACCACATATTTTCCCAATTTTAGTAGTCATTAAGTAAGATTTTAATTTTTATTATTTTTTTCTTACATTACAGTATTTATTTGTCTTCCTTGTGTTAAACCCTGAGCCAACCACTTTCCCCAAGGCCCCTGGGAAGGTATAGGAAAAGGAGCGTGCAAGGGCAGACGCGGCACCGGAGGAACTGTGGGCGCAAAGAGGATGAGGAAGGCCAGGGGAAGGCAAAGAGCCCATGGCCTCCAGGAGCGCGAGCCCAGAAACACGTCGGAGAGCTGCTGCTGCAGAGAAGGAGTCCTGGCAGAACCAATGATGACACTCCTAAACACGGTCCCAAGAGCCAGCTCTCCACCCACGGCGGCCCCAGCCACAGTGAAGCTGGCTGCTGGGCCAGTGTCCCTTGGGACGTTGCTCGTTTGGCAGCTGTAGCTCAGAAGTGAGGTCAGGGACTGAGGACTGCCACGGAGCTCAAGCAGAATTCAAAATATGTGTGTGTCGTGGGCGCCATAGCAGCACATTAAATACGGCAACTAAAACAGTCATGTCTGAAACAGCGACAAATAAAAATTGTGTAAAATGTTCATTTTGAGGCTCATCAGCAAGATACAGAGGTCCTACTCTGGAGAGGTCGCACTCTGTAAACTTAGGAAGAGAAGCCAAGAGTGTGGGATTGTTCTTAGAAACACTGCTATTTAAAGAGAGGGAAGAGATGTACAGTTTGGGACATGCTCAATCGGACTTGCCCCAAATGGTGGAGTTAGAAATGTGCCAGGGGATTCCAATTCAACCCCAGCAAGGTTGCATGTACCAATGCCATCTCACTAGTCCAAGTGATCAATTTCAGTTCACAATTGATCACACTGATAGGTCTAAGAGTCCAAGGGATCACACAAACAAGACTAGTGTCTGGTAATACTAACTGATAGAATAAAAAAGGGAGAGAACGATCCAACACAGGAAGTGGGATACACAGCAGACTCATAGAATGGCAGATGTCCTAAATAGCACTTTGGCCTCAGAATCAGTCCTTAAGGCATTTGGATCTGGCTGAAGAGCCCATGAGAATATTTTAGGCATGGAAAGCCAAGACACTCTGGCAAAAAACAAACAAACAAACAAACAAACAAAACAAAACACAAGCCTAAATGAAAGATCTCTGCAAGTGAGATCCCAGTAGAAAGAACGGGGCCATCAAAGAAGGAGGTACCTTTCTCTGAAGGGAGGAGAGAACTTCCACTTTGACTATGACCTTGTCTAAATAAGATCGAAGTCAGCGAACTCAAAAGGCTTCCATAGCCTTGGCAACTCATGACAAGAGCCTAGGGAGATTACTGACGCCATAAACAAGAGTGTCAAATTGTTAAGTCAACAACAGGAGTCACTGTGCACTTGCTCCTCATGTGGGATCCCCATCCTTAATGTGTTGTCCAATGTGAAGTAATGCTATAACTAGTACTGAAACAGTATTTTACACTTTATGTTCTGTGTGGGTGCAAACTGATGAAATCTTTACTTAATATTTACTAAATCGATCTTCTGTATAATTGAAAATGAATCTTGATGTGAATGGAATGGGAGAGGGAGCAGGAGATGGGAGGGGTGTGAGTGGGAGGGAAGTTATGGGGGGGAAGCCATTATAATCCATAAACTGTACTTTGGAAATTTATATTTATTAAATAAAAGTAAAAAAAAAGAAACACTGCTATTTATTCATTCAGTGTACATGGAATTAATAAAAATCTGAGAGCTTGATTTAGGAAAAGGAGAAAAATAGGCAAAATTGATAAAATCTGAGAGCTTGATCCTTTTTGGTAGAACTGCATTTAAGAAAAAGCAGAAAAATAGGCAAAAGGTCAAATTAAAATTCTTTACTAACCTTTCTCTTGAAGTCAAGGCTGTTAAGCATTTCTTGCAGTGTCAAAACTTCCTGATTCATCAGGGCACTGTTCTTGTCACCCTGATCTGCAAAGGAAAGATCAGACTTAGAGCTCACTCCATCCAAGTTCTCTATTCCCGAGAGTCAAGTCAGCCTCAGCCATCCTAAACCAGCCCTAGGCAGGAGGAGGGTCCGAGGCACTAAGGAACTAAACAGAGCCCTAGACTTAGACCTCCACATTAAGTTCCTGTCTGTTCATTTGGCCAGGAAGAATTCCATACATCCTTCACCCTGCTTCCGCTATTTCCTTAAATCAGCATGCCATAATTACAAAAATCCAGTAAGTTAAGACCAGCTTAATCTTATCCAATAATCTAGACCTAATTTGAATTGTGCCAACTGTCCCACTAATCACAACATGCTTTAAGCTATCAATCCAGTATTATAAATCCTGGGTCTTGTAAAAAGCAAACAAACAAACACAAAACCCTGCAGTGTTTAACCACAGAGAGATAAATAAGTTGCAATGTCCTTAAATTGATATTTATACAATTATACTTGTGAAGATTTTAATATGGAAAAATATTTAAAATAGAACTTTAAAATGCAGCATACAAAACTATACACAAGGGCTGGCGCCGTGGCTCACTTGGTTAATCCTCCGCCTGCAGTGCTGGCATCCCATATGGGTGCCGGGTTCTAGTCCCAGTTGCTCCTCTTCCAATCCAGCTCTCTTCTATGGCCTGGGAAAGCAGTAGAAGATGGCCCAAGTCCTTGGGCCCCTGCACCCACATGGGAGACTGGGAGCAAGCTCCTGGCTCCTGGCTTCAGATTGGCATACCTCCAGCTGTAGTGGCCATTTTGGGGGTGAACCGACAGAAGGAATACCTTTCTCTCTGTCTCTTACTGTCTAAATCTATCTGTCAAATAATTAAAAAAAAACTATATACAAAATGATCTCATTTTTTGAAAATAACTAAACAGCTATGTATGAATGTGAACATGTGGAGAAACGGCCAGAAGGAAACGCTTTTCCACAGTGTTTTTTTGTGGATAGTGAGGTTACATGTCATTAATTTGAGGCCTGTTTTCCAAATTTTCTTCTATCAAGCATATTTCTATTTTATAATTCTCAGAAAATTATGTATTTTTTAAAAACTCAGGGATGCTTTTAGTAACTCCTTGATCATATTAGGCAATTACTACTACTTCTGTTAGTTGTGACAGTGATATTCTGAGTCTACAAGAAAATGTTCCTTTTCAAAATTTTTTATTTGAAAAGCAGAGAGAGACAGACACAGAAAAAAGCCAGACAGTGATCTTCCACCCACGGATTCACTCTGGAAATAACTACCACAGGCAGGGTTGGGCCAGGTAGAAGCCAGGAGCCAGAAACTCAATTTGAGTTGCCCATGTGGGTGGCAAGAACCCAAATACGCATCCCAGGGTATGCCTTAGCAGAAAGCTGGATCAGAAACAGAGGTGGGACTCAAATCTAGGCCCCCTGATATGAGATGTGGGTGCCCCAAAAGGCATAACTACCACACCAAACACCTGCTCCTTTATTTTTTGAGATGTATGTTAAAGTAGGGGTAGTTTCTCATGCAATTTGTAATCCACTTTGAATCGGTTGGTTTAAAAAATGTATACGTATATATTTACGTGGGGAGAGAAGAGAAAAAGCAAAAAAAAACCAAAACTCCTTACCTACAACTTCTCTCCATTTAAAAAAAAAATGCTCACTAAGGGTAGTAGATAAATGTACTTCTCAAATTTGTCAGTAAAGAAGAAATCCTAGCCATGCTGTCTTTATGTCCCCATGTAGCTTTATAGACAAAAAACTTACCCATTGTCTGAATCGTTTTGTATCTGTAGTCAAATTCATCTTGCAGATCTTCTAAGTATTTGGTGTCTTGTTCTGTCATCTTTGAACAAAGAAAACACAGTCACTCTGCTGCTACAGTGAAGCTTGCCAAGGAAACAGCACCATAAGTATTTTAGAATACCGCCGTTGGGTGCACTCAGACACTAACGAATCTCTGTTTCTGAATAACTAATTTGTATGAAAGTGGAATGATGCTGGAAGAACTAGGCTGAACTTGCTGTTCCACTTTTTTTTTCTTCTATATTTTGTTTCTTTCTGCTTGTTTGGAGATCTCTTAGCATCTTCTCCCTCATTTCTTCAGTATTTACCAACAATGCTACCCTGGTTTTGCGTTTACTGGAGAAGATGGGTACTTTGCACTTTTAGAACTCTTGGATAATTCTATATTAATATACTAATTATCACTGACTGATTCTCTATTCAAATAAGCTGCAGTTTATGACAATTCAGCCTACATGTTTTTTTTTTTCTTTCTATTTACTAAAATATGCTGATGCTCCCTCTACGTCTTCTGTTTATTTCTGTCTGTTTACTTGTCTCCAAGCATAGGTATGTGTCCCTGGCCAGAACCAAGAGTTAAGATATCTGAGCTAAAGGTTTTTCACATATTATCTCACTTGGACGCCACAACACCCAAAAAGCAGGTCATTCTCAATACAGATGAAGCGGCCAGTGCCGCGGCTCACTAGGCTAATCCTCCGCCTTGCGGCGCCGGCACACCGGGTTCTAGTCCCGGTTGGGGCACCGGATTCTGTCCCGCTTGTCCCTCTTCCAGGCCAGCTCTCTGCTGTGGCCAGGGAGTGCAGTGGAGGATGGCCCAAGTACTTGGGCCCTGCACCCCATGGGAGACCAGAAGTACCTGGCTCCTGCCATCGGATCAGCGCGGTACGCCGGCTGCAGCACGCTGGCCGCGGCGGCCATTGGAGGGTGAATCAATGGCAAAAAAGGAAGACCTTTCTCTCTGTCTCTCTCTCTCACTGTCCACTCTGCCTGTCCAAAAAAAAAAAAAAAACAAAAAAAAAAACCACAGATGAAGAAGCTTAGATGTGAGGATGGGAAGTAACGTGCCCGAAGTCACACACCTTCTCTGTGAGGACTTTGGTGGGCGAGCCTGGCCCCCTCACCCTTAACCAAGATAGATCTACTGCTTCCTAGACTTGCCACCACTTCCCTTTCTTCTTAGGAAGTCAAATTTTCTACTGCTCGCTAACTCCAAGAAGTCTTCTCTTAGGAAACATACATCTACTCCCAATAGCCCTTTCTCCTCAATTTCCATCAGCTAAAATATTGCTTATTAAAAATATCAACTTTTGGGTAAGAGGCTCTAAATCAGTCCCAACTTGGTGACTTACTAGTGTATGAACCTGAGCACATATTTCTGCATTTCAGCTTCTCCATCAATAGAATGTGATGGGACAGAAGGTGGGGAGGGAGGAAAGAGAGTGACAGTATCTACCTCACAGAGCTCTTCCAAGATCACATGAGTCAAAATTGCCTAAAGGATGCCTGGTGCCAGCACATGTCTCTTAAACACTAGCTATGATTACTGTGCTCCTCTCAGTTTGTTATCTCATTCTTGAAATGATTTCTCAATATTTATGGACCTTAGAAAAGAAACAAAGTACTAACTACAAAGTATAGTGTCTTCCCATCCATAATAATTGTGAAAATTTTGAGCAAATGGGGTCCTAAACCTTATATATTATCATTTCAGCAATATGCAAATTTTAAATTATTTACATTTTTCACACAAGAAAATTGAGTCTCAAAGTCATACAGTAATAGACACTCAGAATAGAATTCAAATGTAGTCTAGTTTAGCTTCAGAGTGTTTATTCTCTCTTTTCACTATACCCCAATACCACCTGCATTTAACTTTAATGATAATTTCTGAAGACAGAGACCTATGAAAGGCCAAGGGTTATTAAAATTCATGACTGAGAAAATATGACAGTTTTAAAGCAGAGATATAATAGGGTTCCATCTTTTGATCTCGAAATTAGAAACTAGAAAAAGAAAAGTGTATAAAAGCAACATCTTAACTCAAAGTCAATGGTAGGGTAAGCAATTGAAAACATTTCACATATTGTTGTCAGTAACTGCAAAATGTGGAAACACTCAGAAATAACTGTCAAAAGCTCTCTTGACGGTCTGAGAGAATGCCACATTCCAAAATGTTCCACAGAGGGATTGAGGCTATGGCATAAGAGGGGGAAAGAAGTTGATCAAAAAGCACTGCTTTCCTAGGCGTGGCTACGCTTGCTGGAGTCAGGGCCTGGCATAGGGATCTGGCACATGGGAATTACTGAGGAAGGGCTCTCAGGAGGAAGGATACCAAGAGAGGGGTAAGAAAGAGGAAGTAGCTAAGCAAGCACGTGGTCTTTGCTGGGGTCTAACTATGATTTGATGCCCTAAGAAACTCAGGAGCATGGTATGCATCAGAGTTAAGCCCCACTTGAAAAAGCCTTTTCTTCCGTCCTAGGTCACTCCGCTGTTTTCTGGAGACAGCCGGGACTTCCTGCAGAGGCATGCTCCAGAGAAGTCACTAGCAGCAGCTGGGGATGTGCAGGCCTGCTGAAGGGATCTGGTTGGCGCTCCAAAAGGGTTGTGTCTGCTGCACCACACTTCTTAGGAATTAAAAAGGAAGTTGAGCGGGGTGCAGAAACCCATCTGTGTAATTGATTAACGTGCTTAAATATTCTTACTGTAATAAAATAATGTCTTCCACCATTATACACTTGTAGTCAGTACAGCCCTTGTTTTTAACATTACAATGAGCCAAAGTGTTTTGTTTAGGTTCATCTGAGAGCCCGATTCTTTCTTTCCTATATAAACATAGTGGGTGAAAGATGTTTATCTTGTTAACAAATAGTGGACTGCTAAATCAGAAGCTGAAGGTAAACACTTAGAAATATTATTATTTAGACCATTGGTCCACTATTCAGACAACATATGGGGAAGTTTACCTCTAAGTTTTCACAGTTTATTTAATTCTATGGAATTGCTATTATTTTATATATAAAGAACAAAGAAATGAATATTATGTATGCTTTGGGAAGGAAAATTATCATTCTACCTTATAACATGATGGAAAGCTAGTTTTGTTTAAGAAATCTTCTCTAGATCCATAAAATCAATAAATCTCTAGCCAGGCTGATTAGGAACAGCAAGAAAAAATTAACCTAAGTCAAATGAGAAGTGTGACATCACTACAGATTCTATGGATATTCAAAAGACAGTAAAGGAATGTAATGAACACTTTATAATAATAAAGGCACACTCAAGAAGAAAAAGTCTTATGGCAAAGAAGTTCAAATTGGAGTACAAAACTGCCAAAGAAAGCTTCTCTATACAGAATAGTGTGTGACAGATTATTAGCAAACTTCCCTGTGATTTCTGCAAACATTACTTTTGGGCCCACAGGAGAAAAGCTAACCTTACGGGGAGGTAGCTGGCTGGTTATCTGGTATGTTCAGAGCATCACTCACCTGCACACTGTTTTTAATGGCAGCCACTTTGTGCTCCACATTTCGCTGTCTTTCTGAAACTGAAGAACTTTGTAAAGATTTCTCCAGAGGTCCCTGTTTAAAAAAAAAAAAGGCTTGAAGTTTCACTGATGTTGATAAAGTAGGCTTATGATGAACACAATCTACATAGTGCATACTTCAAAATGAAGTTTGAGTCAATGTGATACAACATACTTCACAATCATTACAAATAATGCAATAATAAATAAGGTTAGAGTCTGTGAACTCAAGAGGCATCCATAGCCTTGGCAGCTCATGACAAGAACCTCGAGTGATTACTGACATCATAAATAAGAGTGTCAATTGTTAAATCAACAACAGGACTCACTGTGCACTTACTCCCCATGTAGGATCTCTGTCCTTAATGTGTTGTACTATGTGAATTAATGCTATAACTAGTATTCAAACAGTACTTTATTCTTTCTGTGTCTGTGTGGGTGCAATCTGTTGAAATCTTTACTTCTTTACTTACTATATACTAAGTTGATCTTCTGTATAATAAAGATAATCAAAAATGAATCTTTATGAAGAATGGGATGGGAGAGAGAGATGTGATGGTTTGTGGGTGGGAGGATGGTTATGGGAGGAAAAAGCGCTATAATCCAAAATTGTACTTTCACAATTTATATTTATTAAATAAAAGTTTTCAAAAAAAGAATTCATTATCAAAAAATAAATAAAAATAATGCTATAGAAAACTATTTAATGGTGTAAATAGTGTTAAGGATCAGAGAAAGTTATATAAATACCACATATGAAGAAGCCTCAGAAAGTTCATAGACAGATTACATTATCTTGTAATTCCATTTTCTGTGAAGCTTTTGAGGCTCCTTCATACGTATAAGATTTTTATTGCTTTTACATGCATATAGATGTGTATATATATATATATTTGTCAAGTCGACCTTGACTGCAAGGGACTGAAAGGGTGGTGGTTACACCAAAGTTGGCAAAAGAAACTGAGTCAGAAGAAAATAATTACTGTTTCAGAAAAATTTGAGCTCAAAGTAATAACAAAATCATGAATTCAGAAAATATTACCTGGACCGGCATGTTTGCTGCAGCCAATATTCTCCTTTCTTCCCTTAGACAATTTGAAATAACTACAGCTACATGCATTGGATTGCCATGAAATTTTCCCTGGAAAAAAAAGTGAGTAAAAACAACATAAAAGTTTAACTATATGCATCATAAAGAAACATCAGTGCTTGGAAATCAACAATAATCCTCCTCAAAACATGAAAATTATTTGAGATTTGTGCTAATAATCTATTCTATTATAAAGCTACAGAAACTCATGCTGTGAACACAGACCTCCCAAAGAATTCATATTGTTCTTTTTATCTTCAAAAGTCACTTTTAACAGCTAAAAATTGCTTTTGGGCAGCTTTTTAGGCAATAACTTGAACATACACTCAAAAGGGGCAATTTACTTTAGACTTATGTCAGGTTTTCGATAAAAGAGTTGCTCCTCCATAAATTATCATGGACCAGGGTGGTTCCAGCTTTTTTTTTTAGTTTTGTACTTCATGATTTTAAAGTTTTTCTTTGGCCCATATTTGGTATTGTTAATATTGACTACATTAGTACACTCAGGTGAAACTATACTTCACATTCCAGCAACAGCGTTTCATGACATCAAAGCATATACATATTTTTGTACCAAGGCGAATGGTGCAGATAGAGTAAAGTGATGGCCTGCGGGCCTAATCCAGCCAACAGGTATACTGTGTAAATTAATATATTGGAATCCCTTAGGAGGGTCATGTAACACCCACTCTCAGTGCCAAGCACGCATTCATCTTACCTGCAAGACCTCTGTAAGTGTCTGAGTTTTCTAACCTTAACTTACAGGATTAATTTGAACATCACCATTGGTTTAACTCTATTAGTAGACTTTTCCAAAGGCAGGATTTACAGAAAGCAGCAGAGCAGACAAATGGAGTTATTTAGTCTCCCTCTACTCTCCTCACTGAAGGAGAGTAGTAGAAAAAAATGATAATCCACAAAATGAAAATCAACAATTAATCCAAAGTAGATTCACAGACTGGTAACTGAAAAATGAGCTTATTGCTGGTAAACACTTTTATGGCTTTGTCTACTGCCACAATTTTATTAGATGAAGCAACTTTAGTTAACACTTCCATTTGTAAAACTTAGAAGAAGCACCAACTATGCGGATTTGACTCTCTTTCAGATTCCAAAGTCTTCTAAAACCCCTTCCTCCCATTAAATTGGAAATCTCAAAAAAGAAAAAAATAATGAATTGACCAAAACTCAGAAGGTAAAGACATAAAAATGATCATATTTAATAAGTAGATACCAAATTTCTGATTTCTGCACATGGACAGTTTCAGATTCTCTCTCATTAGAATTCCTGTTAATTTTCCCAACTAGTGATTTTTTTTTTTTCAGATAATTTACATTCACTTCTGCAAGAAAAATTTTGTTTTCTCATTTTGCCTTGCATTTATTAAAACTATTCCATTGTTAAAACAAAGAGATTCTTCTAGGGTGGATTTGGAAGCTCTATTATTAATGTAAACTTGACAACTCTCCCCATTTAAGAGCTGGATTCCTTCTAAGACTCCAATAATTACCGATATTTGTTTTTATTTTTCTGACTATTATGGGATATTTCCTTGATCATTCAGATATTATCTTTCAATATTTCTCAATTCTGTAGAACACTTTTTCATTTCCCTTTCTTGAACTTCTTTTCAGATTCACTTTCTCCCCTATTTTGTGAGGTTACAAGATTCATTTTTTTCTCTCTCTCTCTTTTTTTTTTTTTTTTTTTTTTTAACAGGCAGAGTGGACAGAGAGAGAGAGAGAGAAAGATCTTCCTTTTTCTGCTGGTTCCCCCCCAATGGCCGCCACGGCCAGCGCACTGTGCTGATCTGAAGCAGGAGCCAGGTGCTTTTCCTTGTCTCCCATGCGGGTGCAGGGCCCAAGCACTTGGGCCATCCTCCACTGCACTCCTGGGCCACAGCAGAGAGCTGGACTGGAAGAGGAGCAACCAGGACAGAATCTGTTGCCCCGACCGGACTAGAACCCGGTGTGCCAGCGCCACAGGCGGGGGATTAGCCTATTGAGCCGCAGCGCTGGCTCATTTTTTCTCATTTTTAAGAGTCAAGAATCAACACTGTTTTCATTCAGGATATCTTTGCATTTTTTTTGTGTTTCTCCTAACTTAGTACCTCAGTAAATATTTGAAACGAAAACATCTTATGGAAAACTGATCACTATAGATTCAATACCAGGTTAGCACTTTTATTTTCCTAAGTATCAAAGACATATCAGTAGATACCAAGTATAGAATCCCCAAAATGATGATGACAAAACAACCTAGTAAGTGCATTTTGGTGGAAGGAAGAGAGAGAAAGCCAAGGAGAGAGAAACTGCCCATTTCCTATGGTGTATCAGTCTCTCCTGTTCATGTGTGCTGCAATATCTTCTACTCTTTCCTGTCCTTTCACTGTCTCCTAGTGTCCATAAATAATTTTATAATTTTAATGAAGTCAGACTTCCGAATCTTTTCCTTTCTGCTTAGTGCTCTCCATCACTTAGTTAACAAATCTAAGCTGCAGTCATGGAGATTTCTTCCTATTTGTCTTTTAAAAATATTTAAAAATTTTTTTCATTTTGTTTGAAAGACAGGGAGAGAGATTTAGCTATAGATAGAGATGATAGATTAGAGATGGAGATACACACATAAACAAGACTAGTGTCTGCTAATACTAACTGATAGAATAAAAAAGGGAGAGAACGATCCAACATGGGAAGCGGGATACACAGCAGACTCATAGAATGGCAGATGTCCTAAACAGCACTCTGGCCTCAGAATCAGCCCTTAAGGCATTTGGATCTGGCTGAAGAGCCCATGAGAGTGTTTTAGGAATGGAAAGCCAAGACATTCTGAAAAAAAAAAAAAACAAAAAAAACCTAAATGAAAGATCTCTGTGAGTGAGATCCCAGTAGAAAGAATGGGGCCATCAAAGAAGGAGGTACCTTTCTCTGAAGGGAGGAGAGAACTTCCACTTTGACTATGACCTTGTCTAAATAAGATCGAAGTCAGCGAACTCAAAAGGCTTCCATAGCCTTGGCAACTCATGACAAAAGCCTAGGGAGATTACTGAGGCCATAAACAAGAGTGTCAATTTAACAACTACAACAACAGGAGTCACTGTGCACTTACTCCTCATGTAGGATCTCTATCCTTAATGTGTTGTTCAATGTGAATTAATGCTATAACTAGTACTGAAACAGTATTTTACACTTTATGTTCTGTGTGGGTGCAAACTGATGAAATCTTTGCTTAATATATACTAAATTGATCTTCTGTATATAAAGAGAATTGAAAATGAATCTTGATGTGAATGGAATGGGAGAGGGAGCAGGAGTTGGGAGGGTTGTGGGCAGGAGGGAAGTTATGGGGGGGAAAAGCCATTGTAATCCATAAACTGTTTTTGGAAATTTATATTTGTTAAATAAAAGTTAAAAAAAGAGAGAGATGGAGATAGAGACAGATCTTCCATCCACTGGTTCACTCCCCAGATGCCTGCGACAGCTAGGCCTAGACCAGGCCAAAGCCAGGAACTAAGCACTCTGAGTCTCTCAAGTAGGTAGCAGGGACCCAAGCGCTTGAGCCATCACCTACTGCCTCCTCGGAGCTCACTCAAAGGAAGCTGGAATGGACAGCAGAGCCAGGACGAACCTTGATACGGGAAACAGGCATCACAAGCAGTATCTTAACTGCTGCATAAAACGCCTGCCCCATACTGTCTTTTTAAGTGTCTGCAGTTTTGTAGTTAACGATAATTTACTTTCAGCTCTTGGGATGAGAGGTTCCTTTCACTTTTTTCCTTATGGATACACAGTCTCAATAATATTTGAGCACCCCATTGTTCCACCGCCGCTCTGCTGGGCCAGCTCTGTCACAGACCGAAAGTCCCTGTGTGAATGGGCTTGTTCTGCACTCCATTCCTTCTTAGGGTTCTCTCTCTCCTTCCTCAACAGATTCTCTTCATTCCCAGAGCTTTATAATAATCGTGATGTGAAGTAGAAGAGGTTTCCTTTGCATTTCCCGTATAAAGTATATAATCAACTTGTCAGATCACACACAAACTCATGTTGAGAATTTGAATGGCATTAAATCTTTAGATAAATTTACAGAGGCCTAGCATCTTTATCATCATACTCTAACCTATTTATTTGGGTTTTCTTTAATGTTTTTCTAAACAAATATCCACACAAAGATCTCAAACACCTTGTGTTAGGTTTATTTCTATATAGTTGGTATTATTTTTGATACTGGCATGATTTTTTCCTATTTTTTGTTGATATATGGAATATAATTGACTTTTGTATATTGATTTTTCTTTTTTTGACAGACAGAGTGGACAGTGAGAGAGAGAGACAGAGAGAAAGGTCTTCCTTTTGCCATTGGTTCACCCTCCAATGGCCGCCACGGCCAGCGCGCTGCGGCCGGCGCACTGCGCTGATCCGATGGCAGGAGCCAGGTACTTATCCTGGTCTCCCATGGGGTGCAGGACCCAAGCACTTGGGCCATCCTCCACTGCACTCCCTGGCCACAGCAGAGAGCTGGCCTGGAAGAGGGGCAACTGGGACAGAATCCGGCACCCCTACCAGGACTAGAACCCGGTGTGCCGGCGCCGCACGGCGGAGGATTAGCCTAGTGAGCCATGGCGCCGGCCGTATATTGATTTTTTTAAGATTTATTTATTTATTTGATATTCAGAGTCACATAAAGAGAGGAAGAGACAGAGACAGAGAGAGAGAGAGAGAGACAGAGAGAGAGAAAGAGAGAGATCTCCCATCAGCTACTTCATACCCCAAATGGCCACAATGGCCAGAACTGGGCCAGGCCAAAGCCAGGAGCCAGGAACTTCATCCAGTTCTCTGACATGGGTGCAGGGTCCCAAGCACTCGGGCCATCTTCCGCTGCTTTCCCCAGGCACATTATTAGCAGGGAGCTAGACTGGAAGTGGAGCAGCTGGGTCTCAAACTGGCACTGATATGGGATGCTGGCATCGCAGGAGGCTTTTCCTGCTATGCCACAATGCTGGCTTCCTGTATATTGATTTTGAGTCCTGCAACCTTGCTAAACTCTTATTGAATCTAATAATATCTTTGTAATATCTCTTAGTAA